CAAAACATTAATGATGCTATTTGGAAAGAACGATCCAACTTGGTGAAAGATTATTTAGTCGATTGGGCTTATGAAGGGGGCATATCTTTCAATGTATTTGAGCTTGATAGCTTCCGGCTCTTTACCGAAGGGCTCGGTCAATTTGGGCCGAGGTGGAAGCCTCCTAGTTCATATGAGATGAGAGAGCCATTGTTGAAGAAAGCGGTTGAAAGAACCAAACTCAAGGTGAAGCCTCATGAAGATGAATGGAAGAAGAGTGGTTGCTCGATTATGACGGATGCTTGGAGTGATAGAAAAAGAAGAAGCATCATGAATTTGTGTGTGAATTCTAAAGTTGGAACAATGTTTCTATCTTTCAGGGAATCTTCCGATATATCTCACACAAGTGAAATGATTTTTGAGTATGTGGATCAATGCATTGAGCAAGTTGGGCCCGAGAATGTTGTTCAAGTTGTGACGGACAATGCTTCAAATAATATGGGAGCGGCGAAGTTATTGCGCACAAAGAGGCCAACTATCTTTTGGACTTCATGTGCCGCACACACCATCAATCTTATCTTGGAGGGCATTGCAAAACTACCTCGGTTCACCAAAACCATTGAACAAGCAAAGGCATTGACTATATTCATTTATGCACATCATAAGACCTTATCCATGATGAGGTCTTACACTAAAAGGAGGGACATAGTAAGACCCGGAGTCACACGATTCGCCTCTTCTTTTCTTAGCTTGCAAAGCTTGATGGAAAAAAAGGCACAATTAAGGGCAATGTTCACTAGCTCCGAGTGGGATGAGTGCAAATGGTCAAAGACGGTGAAGGGAAAAGCAAGTTACAACACCGTGATGTCTATTGGTTTTTGGAATGGTGTGACTTCTTTCTTGACTATTTTTGCTCCTTTGGTGAAGGTGCTTCGTATAGCGGATGCCGATAAGAAGCCGTCGATGGGATTTTTGTATGGGGAGCTTATGCATGCCAAAGAGAATATAAAAAGTGTCTTGAACAATCTTGCCAAGAACTATGATCCCATCTTAGAAATCATTGACACGAAGATGAAGGGTAGATTGGACACCCCGTTGCACTTGATGGCATATCTACTAAATCCTTATTATCATTATAAGGACCCGAATCTCATACTCGATCAAGTTGTTTCGGATGGAGTTCTTGATTGTCTTGATGTCATTTGTCATGATAACTTTGATTTGATGGATAAAATCATGAACGTTGAGTTGCCCATTTATAAGACAAAGGGAGGAGTCTTTGGGAAGCCAATTGCCGCAAAAGGTTGTGAAGTGAACGACGAGAAGTTTGATCCAGGTAAATATATAAATATATTATATTTAATTATTTATATATTTGATTATTTGTGTCTTGCCTTACCTCTTATCTTATGTGATGTCTTGAAAAAATATATATATATATATATATATTTTTTTTATTAGTCTTATGCTTGTTTTTTAAGTTTAAATGGCTACACAATGATTATGCTTTCATATTAATTTCTCTCTTTTTTTTTCATGCATAGCTACTTGGTGGTTAAATTATGGATGTGGAACGCCTAATTTGCAAAGATTTGCCATAAGAATCTTGTCATTAACCACGAGCTCGTCCGGATGTGAAAGAAATTGGAGTACATTCGAAGGGGTTAGTTGGATATACTATGTTTTAATTGTTTTGTTAAGTCTTTTCATTGTTATTATTCTTATTTCATACTTATATTATAAAATGGGATTTTATTTATTTCTTAGATACATACAAAAAAAAGAAATCGGCTTGATGTTTCGCGCTTGAACAATCTAGTCTATGTGCAATTCAATTCCCGTTTATTGAACAAGCGCAAATGGAGGAAAGAAAAGGATGTGTTACTTGCTAGTGAGGCAAGTAAAGCTCAAGAGTGGATTATTCCGGGATTAGTTGACGATGAAGATGAAGACGTTAATGGACTTGAAGTTGAGCATGACACGTCAAGAGTGAGAGAGCTTGAGGAAGAAGATTTTGAATCCGAGGAGGAGGATCAAGTTAATGAGAATGACATTGAATTTGAATCGGATGAAGAGCGTGTATTGGAAAATTATGGAGAAGAAGAAGAAGATCCTCTTGTGCTTGGCTATGTTTGATATTTCTTAGATATTGACTATTGTTTCTTGTTTCTTAATTGTGTTTTGGACATTTGGTCATGTGGGTTGTTTTGAATCTTTGATACTTGGAGTATGTTTTGAACGTGGAGTTTCTTTTGAGATTGTGGTTATGTTATTTATGTACTTACTACTTAGTAGTGTTTATGTATTTACTATTTATTTGGACTTGAAGTTTGTTTTGAGTTTGTTTTAGACTTGAAGTTTGTTTTTAGATTGTGGTTAGTACAATATTACATTATTACTAACTTGTTGTCATGTGAGTTGCTAATGAGGATTGCTAATTTCTATCATGTTTTCAATTTTTATAAGAATATATTTTAGGAAGTGAAAATAAATAAATAAAAAATAAGATATTTAATATTAATTTCTAGGCCCCGCCTAGGCCCCGCCTAGGCGCTCTAGGCGCTAGGCGCTGGTCGGGCGCCTAGCGGGCGCCTAGCGACTTCTAAAACACTACCTATATATCTGTCAAATTTTCAAATAACATTATATGTACTTGGTAATATATTTATTACTTTACTACAACATAATTTTCATGGTAAATGTATATTAAAAGTTTACTCTGAAATCAAATTAAATCAAGAAACAGAATATACAATTGAAATACACTCTTAAATAACAGGTACACCCTTCTGAATTCCTGGACCTTAGAAGCAAATTACACTACGTACGTACCATGAACAGAGATTTTATTGTTCAATTAATCAAGGGACCATATTGATTTTCATGAGGAAAATAATGTTGTGTAGATTTGTTTTGCGACCGTAACCAAGGACGATAAACTATGGTCCTTTCACTATGTACCCAACCTCCTTAAATGAACCATCAATACATAATCAAGGAAAAAAATAAGTTACCTGAAAAACTAAAAAGCATCACAACAGAACAGTATTCACTATGGTCCTAATATTACAACAATTATAGTAATGAGCTATGGAGTGGGCTCGCGGGCTTGTAGATCGTGCGTGATTAATCATCTTTATTTATGTCTTATTCTATATTTGGGCAAATATATTTTTCCCTCTCTTCTCTTCTCTTTTAAAACAATAAATCAGGTCGGGTCGGGCCCGGAACCCGGCCTGCCAAATGGCCATGACTGCGGTGGTCACAATAACTTAACAAAACAAGCTCAAACTAACAAAAATTGATTATAAACTTAGAGGGAAAAATAATTAATTGCAAATTAACCACAAATTTAATTGTTTTTAGAATTGAATCACAAACTTTTTTATTATTGCAATGTACATAATCTTTTTAATGGTAATTTCATCCATGCTATTTTTTCTTCTAAAAAAATCGGTGTTTTTTTACCATTTTACGGTTTTACTATTCGTAAGTGAAAGACTTAAAATAAAATTTTAAAACCTCTTTAGTTTGAATGAAAAATTAAATTTATAGTTGAAATGTGGGCGAATTTTGAGTTTTTTTAACCCAAAATTGAGTTTAAGTAATTCAAAGATTGTAGAATTCGCAAACGTTTTGTCGTTGATGAATGTTTGGACAAGCCAACGACAATCATATAGTATGCATTAAAGAACATTAGAAGGACTCGTTGGGGACGAGTAAAACAAAAAACAAACACGATTTCGATTCCCAACGAGCGCTACGAGCTCCCCGCGCGCATACCTCGTCACGGGCGCGACGCCTGGTTCGACCCTCCAATTGGGAGCGATGAACACATGACCCAAACACACCTGAAAGGTGTCTTTTGATGCCATAAACCTCCTGGAGATATCTAAGAACTTTAATAATTGTCCATATGATTTGAAATGCATATAACATTTGAGAACTTAACATAAAGATAAGAAACTAAGATAGAACATAAGACAGTTCGTGTTCATCTTGTATTCATGATTATTTCTTCATTTCTTGAAAGTTCTAAACACAAATAAGTTCATCGAAATCTTGTGTATTTGAAGTGCCGTTATACGCAAGATATAAGTCGTTGTATCTTGGAGACATTTGTCGAAAAAATCGTAGGTATTAATTGGTGGCAATTCGTCTTATCGCGTGTTTCACGTGCATCGACTTTTTTTGTTATTTGAATTCTTTGTTTGATTTTGTTCGAGTACTGTATTCATGGTTTGATCGAGTCGTTTCATCACCATTCTTCATTCGTGTTGTACTTTCTATTCTCCGTAAGATAATTATGTACACATTCAACATTTTCTTCCAGAAACTAATCCGTTGTGACAAAAATGTCAGACTGTTGAAGCCATGTAAGATAATAGTGCATCATTATTTATTTGCATATTAATTTATAATTTTTAATTATTTACAAAATTAGACAGAAAGAATTATATAATTTGCCATTCTTTGCAGGCATAGTCATATGTAATTATGGTCAACGGCTTGAACTTTTGAACAATAAAGCACGAAAAAGAAAAGCAAGAAAAATAAAATTAACGTAAAATAAACAGTAAATAACTTTTTTAAGAGTGGGTAAAAACTGGAACGGCGGGGCCCACATTGTCTTGGTGAATGGCAGCACAAGTTAGTAAAACCCAATGGCATTGGTTCCCAACTACACAGTGACCGAAGAAAACAGCCACAGCCCCACATGCCTTTGTTTTCTAAAAATAATAAATAAATAAGGGGGGAAAGAATCTCTACACATTTAAGTTACTTTTTTCTTCCAAAGAATTTGATGCCCCCCACATTATATATAAATACCACACTTGCCCACACAATATGTCCTCACCACACCCTCAATTTTCTTCATATTCTCTCTTTCTAAAAGAACACAAGAGAGATAGAGAAGAGAAACTTTTTTAGGTTTTGATCACCAAAGGATTTTAACAAGAAAGAGAGATATATAGGGAGAGATTTTCTTGATAGTCTCCAAATATTTTAAAAAAAAAAAGATGGCTATTCGAAAGTCTAACAACAAGCTCTCGCAAACAGCAATGATCAAGCAGATCATGAAGAGGTGCTCGAGCATGGGAAAGAAAAATGGGTTCGTAAGCGAAGAAGGATTGCCATTAGATGTCCCGAGAGGGCATTTCGTTGTTTATGTTGGTGAGAACCGAAGTCGGTACATTGTCCCAATCTCGATCTTGAATCGACCCGAATTCCAGAGCCTGCTTCAAAGGGCTGAGGAGGAATTCGGGTTCGATCATGACATGGGCCTAACTATTCCTTGCGACGAAGAGGTTTTCGAATCTCTAACTTCCGCGTTTAGGTAGGATAAATAAAAATTTATTCCAAAAAAAAAAACAAAAAAAAACTTAATAATGTTTGATGATACCTAGAACATTTTTAGTAATCCCTTGTAGGGATTTTTTTTTTTTATTATTAATATATGTAATTTTATAGCTTGACTTGGCTAACTAGAAGATGGGTTTATGCATGTAAATGTAGTGAGGGGGAAAAGGGAGAGTTTGATTTTTCCTTGCAGTGGTGTTTGGTTGTGATTTTGTTATTGCAACCTTAATTGTGTACCCTGTGAGAGTACTAAATATTAATATTATTGAATTTTCCTCTTTTGTCATCACATTCTATTTTTTTGTTTTCTTTTCTATAGTCCTTTGAAAGGAAATGGCTGATGATAACTGTACATCTGTATTGGACCTCCTTTTTTTGTCTCTTATAAGTTTTTGAAATTTGAGGGAAACAATATTTATGATAAATGGACCACTATTCAATTGAGAAAAAAATAGAAAGAAAAAAAGCAATTAAAAGAGAAGGAGATCAGAGATGTTAATAAATAAAATTTTAAAATTCATATTGAAGAAGAATAGGTAAAAACATGGAACTATATATGTGAGTGTGACATTTTATGTTTGTCAATATTTTGGCATTTATTTCCCATGTGGAGGGGCCTTATATTGCTTGTGTACTGAACCAAATGATTATAAAAGGTGATTTTCATTTTCCAACTGTGTACAATTTTTTCTAGATTCGATCGTTTTGAGAGAGTTCGATTAATATGTTTTATGTACTGTTCATATAAACTTTTTTCGTTGTTAAATCACACTCATATTCATAAATATCAATGTAGGTGTGTTCATACAAAGATTTAAAAAAAAAAAATAATAATAAAATAAAAAAATAAGTACATAATGGACGTGACGTCTGGGAATATAATGAGATTCACCCAACTTTGGACATGATAATTTTTTAATAAGAAATTATGGAGCTGCGACATTTAACCTAATTTTATTTGATACACAATTAATCTTGAGGTGAATGTTTATTTTGTTATCCATCACATAATATGTAATCTATCGAAGCAAGATTATAGATACTAGAAGATGGTAAAGACTAAAGAATGGAAAAAATAGAATTAAAAAAATGTTACATTAATTACATATGAAAAATGTAAAATCTACGAAAGAACAATTAAACAAGCATCAACAATATCTTATGCAATACGGCACCGTGTGATAATCACGACTGATTCAAAAATTGCCACATTTTACTCCGTGCACCCAAAACCTTGGAGAAGGCTATGTACATATTTTTTGTTTTTTCTTTTATTATTTTACTGATTTTCGGTCCTAGCGTACAAGAAAGACTAGTTTGGTAAAGCTGAAATTAAAACTGCAGATAGATGGTAAATTAGGTGATACATTATGTCCGAATTTGATAATTTATAAATCATGTTTAAAAAGCAAGCTGATATAATAAACGTTTTTGGTAAAATTAGTTGAAATAAGAAAAAAAATTAACAGGTTATTTATAAAAACTATATAAGTAAACTTAAGAGTATGTTTGGATATAAAAAAGTTTTTGTTTTGATTGATTTTTGGTTTGGGTTAGTTAAATTTGAAAAAGTTGGTATGATAGTTGTTAGTAGGTATATTAAAATAATATTTAAAATAAAATGATTAAAATTAAATTGATGTAAAAGTAGGAGAGAGAAGATGTGATGTGATGGTTAGTTAAAATTATGTGAGTTGATGAATAATGAATTAAGGTTGATGTTATGTATAAGAATGATTGATTGATATTATTTAATTATATTGATAATATTATTGATAGTGGGGTTGAGTTAAAAAAAGATGGTTAAATTAAAAATGATTGGATTTTTTGGATTGAATTTGTATCCAATCATGCTCTAAGATACGTCAAACTTCACCAAACCAAACTTATTTGGTCCCATATAAAACTTATAAGCTAAATAAATAAATTATAGCTTGCTAATGATTAGAGAGTGACTGAAAATAGATTTGATTGAATTTTGAATGATTTTACGAAAAACCATATATAGTTGATTTTGAAAAAATGATTGTGTTAGGTTTGAGTGAGATTTTAAATTTATTTTAAATTAATATTAAAATTAATTTTATGTAAAAGTATGTGAAATGAGTGGAAGTGATAAATAGTTAAAATTATAATCGATTAGTACTGAAATTAAATTAATGTGATTTGTAAATATGATTTATTGATATTTTTTAATTATATTAATAACATTAAGAATAAAAAATTGAATTAGAGTTAATTTTTCTAAAAAATTACTAAATTAAAATATAATGAAATAAAAACTAGCCCAACCCATTTAATCACGCATTTCATAAACACGCTCTAAATCAGCTTCTTGTACTATTTCATGCCTGTACAATTGATTGACGTAGGCAGTACAAGAAGGTTCCTTCTTCTATACATGCTTTCAAGTACACAAATTGAGCACAGGACACGTGGTCGAATAACAAGAAAAATAATTATTCGGCTGACCTTAAATTAAATCTCTTGTGAATTGATTTTCAAATGGAATTGGGTGAATAATTTCTTACGCAGTTCCGCATATTATTATGTTAAAGGTTTGGGGTCCAAGAAGAAATAAAAAATAAAAAATTAAAATATAGGTATTTACTATAAAATATCATATATTTCTTTTTTTTAAAAAAAACTGAAAGTATTTACGATTGTTTGTGTGGGCTAAAATCAAACTACGCGTTCATGACTCAAGCTTGTTTAATTAACGAGTCGAACTTAACGCTTGAAAAAATAAATTTTTATACATAATTTTATGTAGTTTGCCTCGAGCTCGACTTCTTAATATTGATAAACGACTCGAGATTGATCATTGTTATCGGCTTTTTTGGTTAACGAGCTAGCTCAAACTCGAGTATCACGAGTTTAAACTCAGGTCGACTCAGCTCGTTTATATCTCTACATGGGCCAATTGACACCCTACATATTGTAAAAATAATGATAGTACCATAAAGATAAAACATAATTATAATTATTTACATATCAGTCATTCTCAATTTCTAATTTTCGATATATTCAATTAAATAGGTTATGTCTCAAAATATCCTTTGTGGAAAATCAACCCATCTTATTAGCTGGGCAATGGAAATTACCAAGTCCACAGAAAATTTTCCACATATCATGGCAGAGAATAAGTCTACGTGCCACTAAATATCACGATTACTCTTAGGAAAAAAGGTCAAAAAACCATTAATTTCAAAATAATTAAGTCGTGGCACGTAAAAATTCAAACTAGACTCAATTAAGGGTTTGAATATTTATGGGATTTTTCTTATGACAAGTAAATGAAATAATTAAGTACTTATACATAGGCCGGCCTTTAGGTGACGCCTCTGATCATATGGTAAGAAGGGCAATTAATTGAGATTTTAATTTAGAACTGACCCCACATATTTATTGAAATTATGAAATGAGACAACAGGTCGAACAATTTTATTTTTTTCACAAGAATGCAAGTCATACTTTTATGTATGTTATATTTTAAGAAAATATGCTCGATTAAAAATAGCCTTACTATGTGTGTTATGAGGCATGGGCTACTGTAAAGTTCTTGAATGGTCCTTTTAATTCGCAGAGCCAATTGACTTTTACAGTGAAAATTTATTTTGATGTCTTAACTAGAAAGGACGGTTGTACTTCATTTCTTTTAGAGGAAAAATATAAATGATAAAATTATATTGCAAAAATGATCTTAAGAAATTTATTTGTTAAAAAGTATATATTTAGTTCTCGTAGTTTCTAGCTTCATTCCACAATCAAACCTTTTCTTACGTATCACATTGAGCAGCTGTATTCGTGCATGTAAAAGATTAAAAGAAAAAAAGCAAATAAATAAATGATCAATTAAAATGAAAATAAATAACAATCGTAAGTTTTTTGTGTGGGGGCAAAAGAGCAAGGAACCGGGTTCATTGGATGTACTGATTCCTGATTAAACCGTATTGAATTTGGCAGGTTTTTTAGCAAACAAGATATGTTTGGTAAATCTGACTAAAAAATGAGTTGATAGCATAAGTAAATTTCGAATTTATAAAGGTTAATGGTTGATGGCTTTAATATAATAAAAGTGTTTGGTAAAATTAATTATCATACAACTGTATTGAATTTTTTCAATAACTAATAGCTAATGGCTGATGGTTTTGATATACATAATAAATGTGTTTGATAAGATTAGATGATTAGAACGCTGAATTAAATTCTTTTCAATATGCTTTTTTGAAAAGGTCTATTAAAAAATTTTATGAGACAAGTTCCACCTTTGTAAAAAAACTTATTTGAATGGAAGAAACTTAAAATTAACAAAAAAACTACAAGCTAAATTATAGTATTTATCTACCAGACACTGTCTTTAGATAGAAACTTAATTTGGTCGATCCAGCAATAGATTCCAAAATGAACCGGCCGGTCCAAACATTGAGCCGGGTGGTGTTTGTTCAAAATTCAATTCATGGTGGCTAAGATATTGTTATCACTAATCACAGTGAATTCATATTCTATGTTTAATGGTCAATCAATTTATGCCATGAATATAGGATGGTCCTTTTTATTTTTATATATTTTTTCCCACTTCTTACTTTATTTTTTTCTAATAATTTGTTGTATGGTGTGGGGTCAGGTATCTGCTTGATTGGTGGGCCGAAATTAATCCGTACCGACCGGACATCCCTTTGACTGCTTGATATTGATAACTCTGCACTATTTCAATAGTCCCCAGTTAAGAATGTAAGACGGTTAATTGTGAAAAAGTCCATACAAGAAGACTTATTTATATATAAATATTCATTAATAGAGTTTTTTCTTTTTGAAATTGAGGACTTTAATTTAAATATGTAGGAAAAATTCATAAATATTTTTTTTAAATTAAAGACTTTTAATTTAAATATGTAGGAAATTTGTTTTCGAATTACAAGGGGAATCCTAATAAATTGATGAGTTCGATTCTTAAATTATTGTAACATCTAATGATTCT